GGAGGAATAGGCCGGGAGCCAGGGCTTTTTCCAAGCTTCAGGGAGCGGGTCAAGAACAATGGAAGAGAAGGAAGGTCAAGCTGAGGAAGAGGAGTTGAAGCCCCCAGAGCCATGGAGGAAGAGTGGAAGTCCCCTCAGGATTGAGGGCCAAGAGAAGCACCGCCCCAAGCCCCGCCTGAGCTCCACCTATACTCCGCCTATTCTTAATCTGCAGAGAGAGATGTTGGAATCACTTGAATATGCATTTAATCACAGTTAAAGATTGTATAAAAATGCTGATTTTGTGTGAAGCCTTGGAGCAAGTTTGTCCAGCGCGAGCTGGCTTGCTCCCAACGTTGAAGAAACAAATACCTTACTGCTTAAAGAGAAAAAAGTCTCTGAGCAGTTTCTCGGACCGATTTTTCGGATTCAGCGCCCAGTCAGTCCCAGGATGATCCCAGTCACTCCTGGTCTCTCCCAGTTGCTCTCAGTTTCCTCCATGTGGTCCCACTCATTCCCAGTTGCCCCCAGAAGCTTCCAGCATGATCCCAGTTGCTCACAGCCACTTCCAGTCATCCCCAGCGCACTTCCAGTTGCTCCCAGGATGATCCCAATCACCTCCAGCATGATCCCACTCACTCTTGATATGATCCCAGTATGACCCCAGTCACCCTCAGTGTGGTCTCAGTTGCTCCCAGCATGGGCCAAGCTTCTCCCACTGTGATCCCAGTATGGTCCCAGTTCCTCCCAGTTACCCCTAGCACAGATCCAGTCACTTCCAAGTATGATCCCAGTCCTCCCTCCTGACAGTCCCAGTCAATCCCAGTTGCTTCTATTGTAGATCCAGTCACTCAGTTCCTTCCAGTTGCCCCCAGTGTGGTCCTAATTCCCCTTCATGTAGTCCCAGTCACTCCCAGTATGGTCCCAGTCACCCCCACCATGGTTGCAGACACTCCCAGTATATCCCAGTAGAGCCCTCACCATGCTCATAGTCCTTCCCAGTCACTCCCAGATGCCCCAGTAACATTCCAGTTTCCACCAGTATGATCCCAGTGACTCCAAGGCACTCCCACTATATCCTATGTGGCCTCCAGTTGCTCCCAGTAGCCCTCAGTGTGGTCCCAGTTGCTCCCAGTATGATCCCTGTTGCCCCATTTCTGGTCCTGGAGGGTCCCAGTGTGCTCAGATCCTGCTCCCGGGGGGTCCTGCTGGGTCCCAGTCCTGGTCCCGGTGTATCCTGGTGTCCCGATCCATTCCAGTCTGTCCCAGCCCATCTCAGTCCATTCCAGTCTGTCCCAGAGCATCCCATTCCATCCCAGTCCATCCCAGTCCATCCCAGACAGTCCCATTCATCCCTGTCCATCCCAGTCCATCCCAGTCCATTCCAGTCCGTCCCAGTCTGTCCCAGTCCATCCCAGTCCATCCCAGTCCATCCCATTCCATCCCAGTCCATCCCAGTCCATCCCAGTCCCTTCCCAGCCGTTTCCCAGGTCCTGCCCCCCCGCCCCCCAAGATGCTGACGGGGGCGGGGCTCCGTCTTTGCCTTCGTCTCCCTGGGCCTGCCTGGAATGAAGGGGCCGCTGGGACACTGCGGGACCTCCTGAAACCAAAGGAACCCGGGGAGAATTTGGGTACTCCTGGAGTCAAGGCACAACTGGGACACTGCAGGGCCCTATGGAAAAAAAGGAACCTTGTGACACTGCGGAATTCATGGAATCCAGGGGCCTTTGTGACAGGGGGGCCTCATGGAACCAAAGGAAGCCTGAGGTGTTTCAGAAGGTCATGGAATCAAGGGGCCACTGGGACACTGCAGGGCCTCTGGCAATTAAAGGAACACTGGGACACTGGGGCAGGACATCCCCCCTGCAATGGCCCCAAGACAATGCCCCATTTGCAAAGGGGTCAGTGCTGAGCTGAGAGGGGGCCGGGACAAGGCAGGAGATGTTGGACCCCAGACTGGTTTGACCCCAAATGAAGCCCCTGATGGTGAGGGAAGCCCTGGAGTCCAAGGACTGTCAGTCCATGGGTTTCTACCACAAAGGGTCAGTCCCCTTTGCCAGGGGCAGCTTCTTCCAACAGAACCCTTCTTGGGGGTGTGTGGAGATTCCTGCCTTGGCTGGGGACCCCCCCAAGGTCACTGCTGGAGGTTGAGAGCAGAGATCTCCCCACCAGCGCTGCTCTGGGGGAGTTCCATCCATCTCTAATTAAGAATTATTGCTTGTTTGCCACCTTTAGTAGAATTGCTTCAACAATTGCTTTAGTGTAGTGCCCTGTCCTACCTTATCCTGTACTCCTGGTAGTTTTAGTGTTTCTACTGTTCACTAAATAATTCTGTTCTGTGTCATCATTTGCAAAAATAAATAATTCATTTTCTATCAATAGATCTGATTTGCCATCATTAAAGCCTGGGGGACAAACATGGTTCAGTCCCCCCTCTAGAATTGCTCTAAATTTCAACTGTTGGCACAATGCAAGGCTGAGATTGGATCCAGCAGCCCCCAGCACCCCAGAGGAAGTTGGGAGCTCAGGGGGACCATCCCCCTTTCCCAACCCCCAGTGCCCAAAGACCCTCATGGGACTGTCCATCCCTCCAGACCACCCCCCTTTTCCACCCCTCTCCCTGGTTCTCCCACTTTTCCATGATCCCCTCAAGCCCCAGCCCCCTCATGTTTAGTTTGGGGTCTCAACCCCCACTTTTTCCCCCTCTCCCACCCCATACACATCATTCCCCCAATCCCCACCTCCCTCATGCTCAGTTTGGGGGTCCCACCCTCCCCTTTTTCCCCCTCTTCTGACCTCACCCACCCCTTTCCCATCAGCCCCCAATTCTCAACCTCCCTCCCTCTCCACTTTTGGGGGGTCCCACTCCTCTCCCATTCAGTCTTGGGGTCCCACCACCCCTTTTATCCCCTCTGACTCACCGACCCCCCCCTTCCCAACACCCCCTCTCACCCAAGAGCTCCTCACGTGCAGCCAGGGGAGGCTCCCAGTAACACCAGAGTCCATGAAAGTCCCCCCAGACTCTGCAGTTCCTCATGTGTCTGACAGGGCGTCTTGGGAGGCACTGGAGTTCCCCCAGCTGCTCCAGATCCATAGCACTGAGATTTCCTTCTTTCCTTCCCTTCTTCCCTCCCCAGGGTCTCCTGTGGTGTTCTTCTGACATTGGGTGTAGCAGGAGCCACCCCCAGGGCTCTGCATGGGGCAGGCTGGGTTGTGGCAGTCTAAAAATGTGTAATTAATAAGGAAATTGTAGATTTTGCATAGAAGTTGTTGTATTGTATTGTACTGTGCGTATGTTCTGTCCTTTCATTGGTTGATACTTGACGCAGTACCGTATAGGGTTATGTTCAGCCCCTATCTCCTATGATTGGTTGTAATTTGCATGCTCCGCCTAAACCCCATCTTCTGTTCCAGTGCCTTCCTTACCCACGTTATTTAAGGCTGGAGCCATTTTGCACAGTGCTTTCTGTGCCCTTTTGTTCCTCCCTTTAAGCAGTTCAGTTGCCCCGCTACTTTTATAACAAAATCACCTTACCAGCTGCACCCAGAAAAGTTGGGGAGGTCTTTATTCAAGCGCTGACCTCCGCACTGGGTGGTACCTGCTGCTCCTCAGGTGATTGGACAGAGCCATTCGTTGGTGTGAGTTTGGCATTCCCCACCCAAACTGCTACAGGAGTGCCAAGCTATTCCGAGGAATGGGGAGTTGTTACGAAGACTTGAGCGGAGCCCTGCTTAGAGGGGCTGGGAGAGGTCCAGCAGCATGGAGTGAGCCTGGTCAGTGCAGAGGGGCCCCGAGCAGGAGATGAAATCTCTTGCAGAGAGGCGCCACTTGCCACAACAGCAAACGGGGAAATCTTCCTCTCCCTTCAGGTCAGAGGTACAAGTGGATGTGATCAGTGGTGTTCAAGCCCCCTGCAATGTGGAGGTGGAGATCCAAACAACCTATAAACAGACTGGCTCGAGCAAGGAAAGGCTGGGATGCTGTGACAATTATTGTGGCCTGGTACTAAGGCAGGCCTGGGAAATCCAGATCAGATGCTCTGGCACCTCTGTTAGGAGGCAAAGTCATCCCAAGGGCTGGAGGCTTCTGCGCGGATGATGTCAGGAGGGGCTGCACTCACTGGTGTCTCTGAAGGGGTGAATCTCTCTGTGATTCTCCTGGTTCTTGTGCCATTTCCCAAACAACATGGGCAGGAGGAGGGCTTTGCTGTCGCTTGTGGGAGAAACCTGCCTCTGGCTTTAGAGTGTTTTGAGAAAGTCCAGGTCAGACCTGCTTCATTTTCTAATGAGGGAAGTTGTCTTCCTCCATAGGCTGAAAAGGCCAGGAGCAAGTTACCATGTGTGTACATTCACATACTTTCCTTTTGCTGTGAATAGGGGCTTTGGTCCCGTGGAAATGCATGGGGCAGAGGACAGGGGACCTTGGGATCAGGTGGCAATCTTGGCTACTGGAAGGTTTCAGGATTCTTGTCTGCAAGCTGCAGTTGAGTGCGTCGTATCACTACTGAACCAGAGATGCTCCCCTGCCGCTCCCATCAAGTGGACTTGCTTTTGGGGGTCTTGTATTTCTTTCTTATTGTCTTTCACGAATCCAGGGAAGAATGTGTGCGATTTTCTGGTTCTTCCCCTCACCTAATCCCCTAGCTGCTTTTTGGAAGGCCTCTTGCAGAAGCTGATACTGAAGCAGTGCTTTCAGGGTTACCCAGGGACTCTGAGAAACTGGAGGGGGAGAGATCACAGATTCAGTGCTGCCTGTGGTCAGGGACTAACGGAATGGCAAGCAGCTGGCTCACTGGAGAGAGATATCCCATCTCTAGCTAAATGAAGCTAAATCTCTTATCCACAAACTTCTGATTCAAGTCCAGGCAGTTCTGTCTAGACTGGCCAATGGGGCTGATGATGCCTGAGACCAAATCTTCCTTCCTGGGGCATTTCAAAAGAGCCAGCCATACTGAAATCAGGAGCTTTTCTACATGTGCTTGATGAGCTCAGCTGCCTCAACATCTGTAAGTTTTCTTTTTTCAGACCCCATTGACGATGTGCATGGTGACCTCCTGGGATCCCATGGCAAAATGAACCTTCTTTGCACCTGCCAGTGTAGCATCTTCACCTTGCACTCCCTTCCTGGAGCAGTAGGTGCTGGCACAGCAGCCATTCATCTCCAAGGAGTCCCCAGGGTTGTGAGGGGGGATGAAGCTAGGTGGACAGCAGATCGCAGTCAGAGGCCATGGAACAGGTTGGACATGAGCTTGGGGAGACCAAGTGAAGTTCATCCCATACTAAAAGCCTCTATGGCCCATGAGGAGACAGCGAATCTCCCTCTGGAGAGCCTAGGTCAGGAATATACCCGCATCCATCATCGTAACGTCTCTGCATCTTGTTTGCAGACAAACCTCCTGTTAAAACTGCCGGAGCTTCCAAGCTGACTGCAGGCAGCAGTTGTAGAGCCCACGGCACCAGCTCATAGGTCAGCAAGGAGTGCCTTTCAGATGCTGTCTCTCTCCCTTGTAGATGTCTTTGTGCTGCCCCAGTCTTTCTGATCTGCCTCATCCTTGACTTCTCCACCCTGCTCCCTGCCATTGCTTGAGAAGGAGTTATCTGCAATGCCTTTGGGCACCGGGAGCCCAGAGACTGAAGCTTTCCAGCAAGAGCCCCAGGCCTGTCCAGCAGCTGTAAATTTCCCTTGGAAGAGCACTCTCATCTTTCAGCCCAGTGTTTATTTAGCCCCCTTGTCTATGTTGTACAATGGGGCTGCTTCAGAGAGCCCCTGTGGTCCTTCCACCTCTCTCTGCCTGGCCTGGCTGTCCTCAGGGCATCTTGCCAAGCTCTCATGTGGTGCTGCTGACCCCTGGGCTGGTGTCATATATCTTTTCTAGAAGATGATTTTTTTCAGCAAACGCCCTGTGGAGGACAGCAAAGCTGCAGAGATGAGCCCACATGTCAGGAGAGAGCCTGGCTGTCCCAAGAGCTGGTGCTGATGGGGGCCAAAACTGGCCCTGGTCTCCCCCCATCCCAGTCAGCAGTGGGATATCAGGATTGAACTGTGAAGTTTGTTAACTCCTCGGCAGCATCCCTGTGGGGTGGGGAAGACAGGGCAGGGGAGCCGCTGGATGGTGAGAGAAGGGCTTCCAGGTGTTCTGGAGGAGATGTAGCAAAGCCATGGGGGCCATGTGCTGCTGCAGCCCAGCCTTCCTGGGTGCACTTCAGGAAAAGTGTTCTAAGAAAGACCTTCACTCAAAGCAATGGCCTTGGGTTTTCTGGCTGCTTTTCCCAGAGGAAGCAGCATGTCAGCAAAGGAATCAAAGCTCAGGGGATTTCCAGTGAGAAGGACACTGGGAGGAGTTGGGTATGTATTCTTCCATCCCATAAAATGAGAAAAAATGGGCCGGAGTGAGAGGTGAGGGATTTCCAAAGTCTGCTCATCTCTGATGTCTCCCCTCCCTGGCCTGGAGGGATCCAGTGCCTCCGGTGCAGAGCCGAAAGCTGTGCTGCAGATCCTGAAGGTGATTGTCCTGCTTCTGGTCAGGGCAGTGTTAATTTGGGCAGTATCCAGGAGGGGGCACAGCCAGGACATAGAGGTTATTCCTCATTTTGTCAAGGATGGGGGAAGGGGTCTCTTCCAGGTTGTGTGCGTGGTGGCAAAGTTGGGCACCAACTGGTGAGCAATCATGTGTGAGTCATTTGCCTCCCTTGTACACTCGGTTATTAGTATTGTTTCTGTTACTGTTCTGTTGCTGTACTGTTTTCTTATTTCATTGCCGTTTCCAGTAAGTTGTTCTTCTCTCAGCCTGCCATCTTTACCTTTTGTGCCTCCAATTCTCCCGTCCAGCCTGCCTCCGGATGGAGGGGGAGTGGGAAGGAAAGGAGGAGTGGGAAGTGAGCGAGTGGCGCACGATTTGCATGGTTTCAGTGAGAACACTAAATTATGGAACACCCGTCTTAAACACATCATCGTGGCTGGGCTTCTCGAACCAAGATTTAAGAAGGCTCCATCCACATTTGTTACAAGCACGCTGGTGGCTTAGGAGGCCAATGCGAGATAGACATATCCGATTGCAAAAGGCACAGCAGAAAGACTCCCTAGGTGGTATATTCTGCAAGACATGATTCTTTCTCCCTTGTCTTTTCTCCTCGAGAGGGATTCTGCGTGCGTTCTCAAAGGAAACAGGAGCGTTATAGATGGTGTGTCTCCAGGCCTCCCGATTGGAGGCCAGAGTAGACCAGTTATGTTGATTGATATGGCCGAGGCTGAGATGTTTGCAGCTATAATTGTCTACAACGTGGAATAAATAATTCGGATTACAGTATTTTAGTATTTCTTATTTTATTATTTTAATAATATTTCTTATAACATTACTATCTATTACTGAATATATATAACATGTAATAATGTATTATAAAGTATTACTTCTCTCTATATTTCTATATTATATTTCTAAATATATTTCTATATTTCTATATATACTTCTCTATATATATATTCTATATTTCCATATATATGTCTATATTTCTAATAATATTTCTATATTATTGTAACTATCATCTACTTAGCTAAATCATTCACTCAGGTCTGAGAAGGCGTGTCGAAAACAAGGATGCCTTGGCTAATAAACGCAGTGCTAGTCTTCCGTTCTGCTTGAGCCAGGGCCATAATCCAACGCCATCATTGCCAGAGTGCCCTGAATGCTTGTCTGACGTGAATCTCTGGGGCGTGGAAACCCTCCTCTTCTTCTCTGAAGGGCGGTAGTCTGTGTGCTGCACAATCTCTACTTAATATTTGTTTTCTTAGCTTTAATATAATTGCTTCAACACTGCTTCCAAATACTGCACTATGTTTCCAGCTATAATTATCTACAATGTGGAATAAATAACTCTGCTTAAAGTATTTTAGTATTTACTATTTTATTATTTTAATAATATTTATTATACTATTACTATCTATTGCTGAAGATATATAACATGTAATAATGTATTATAAAATATTACTTCTATATTATATTTCTAAATATATTTCTATATTTCTATATATATTTCTATGTATATATATTCGGTATTTCTATATATATTTCTATATTTCTATATTATATTTCTCTATATATTTCTATATTTCTCTATATATTTCTATATTTCTATATATATTTCTCTATATATATTCTATATTTCTATATATATTTCTATATATATATTCTATATTTCTATATATATTTCTCTATATATGTTCTATATTTCTATATATATTTCTATATTTCTAATGATATTTCTATATTATTGTAACTATCATCTACTTAGCTAAATCATTCACTCAGGTCTGAGAAGGCGTGTCGAAAACAAGGATGCCTTGGCTAATAAACGCAGTGCTAGTCTTTTGTTCTGCTTGAGCCAGGGCCATAATCCAACGCCATCATTGCCAGAGTGCCCTGAATGCTTGTCTGACGTGAATCTCTGGGGCGTGGAAACCCTCCTCTTCTTCTCTGAAGGGCGGTAGTCTGTGTGCTGCACAACCTGGCTGTGGCAATCATAGCCCCGCCCTGTTGATCTTTGCTCTCTCTGTCTCTGTCGGGTTTGCTCCCGAGCAGCCCGGAGCATGAGAGCCTGCTTGGAGCTGGCTTTGGAGGGCCCTGGAACTGCAGGATTCACTAAGACTTGGTCACAACGTGGAGGACTTGTTCTCTCCCTCTTTCTCTTCCGCAGTGAGCGGTCATAGTCTGTGTACTGCACAAACCGGCTGCCAAGGTTGTAAGTTCCCCGCACAGATCTGCTTGGCTCCCTCTGCCTCAGCAAGGTTTGCTCCTGAGCAGCCCTGGCAGCGGGAGCCCACCGGCAGATCCTCTTGGAAGGCCTTGCAGCTGTGCTATCCCTAGGACCACGGTCACGACTTGGAGGACCAGTTCTTCTCTCTGAAGCGTCGTCATAGTCTGTGGTGTCCCCAGAGCAGCTGCGCAGATCCCTGCCCCACAGAGGGAATCTGCTCCGGGACCGCTCCCTGCCAGTGTCCTTCATGCCCTGCAAAGAGAGCTGTGCAGAGTTCCTGCCCTTTTCTCCTGAAAGGATCAGAGCAGTGGGGAACCCCTACAAGTTCTGGGACAGGACAGTTTGGGGCCTCCAAAAGGCTCTTTTGGAGGGCTACTAAGACCAAAAGGCCAGAGGCGCACCAAAGGGATGGATCCAGGTGGGATGCTTGGAGAGGGAGCAGCGTTGTGGTTGTGAAGAAAGGTGCGGTGTGTGAGGGTCAAAAGAGAAATGCTGAGATCCCAGAAAGAAATCCACTATTCCTCTGATGCCCTGACCCGTGACCCCAAAGTTACCTTAGTCCTACCAGTCAGACCCTGTGGTCCAACAGAGCCCGCCTGCTTGCTGCTGGCCACACACTGACTGAGGAAGGAAGGGGCATGTGATGGTGCCAGTGAGGAAGAAGCCCTTTCTCCAATTCTCAGATCAGAGCATCTGGAGAAAAACAAAAGAGTGATCTCAGTTTAGAGCTGTTGTTGCAACCTCCTCTGGGGTTCAGTCATTTTCTCAGAGAGGCTTCTATGACAGAGAGAAGACTTAACCAAGGACACTAATGGGAAACTCAGCGTGGGTCTTCCCACCAAGTTTGCCTCTGTCCCAACAAAAACCTCATCTCTATACCTCCCACAGCCTCCATTTCATAAATTCACAGACTTGTTTGGGTTGCAAGGGACCTTTAACTTTATCTTGTTCCACCCCGCTGTGGTGGGCAGGAACACCCTCCACTATTCCAAGGTTTCTCCAAGCCCTGTCCAACCTGGCCTTGAACACTTCCAGGGATGGGGCCCCCACAGATGCTGTGGCAACCTGTGCCAGTGTCTCAGCACCCTTACAGCAAAGAATTCCTTCCCAATATCTAGTGTAAACCTGCCCTCTGTTAGCTGGAAACTGATAGCCTTCATCCTGTCACTACATTCCCTGACAAATGGTGCCTCCCCATCTTTCCTGGAGGTCCTCTTTAAGTCCTCTTATCTACAAGAGTCAACATCAGAGACCAGGCAAGTAGCAGATTCCATCCGGGCCGCAGCCTGAAGCCCAGTAAAGGACAGACACGGAGTAGTTCAGATTTGACAGCACTGAATGATGCAGGTAGTAATTTCATTTGATGAGAAAAACACTCAGGAAGGTGAGAAGCACAAGTGCAAAGGAGGAAAAGGAAATGTATTCTGAACATATTTGAATCCTGGTTATTACCTGGCATAGAACAGCAGGTAGGCTTGCTGCCTGAGAACTGTGTCAATGGAACGCAGCTGCACAGATTCATCGTCCATCCGGTACCACAATCCATTGCTGGCCTGTAAAAAAAAGGCAAGGATCTCTCCATGGTTTCTCTCCAAAAACACGGGTAGGAAACTGCCAAACCGAGAGCATGTCAAAACAAATGCAGTCCAGCCACTAAGGAGGCCTTCTGCCCCAAAACTTTGGCTGTCAGTAACACTGACAGGAAAGTTTATCTTCCCCAGCACACATTTTTCCCCATTGGGAAGGAAGTTGCTCTTTTACCTTTGTGTAGCAGAAATAGTGTCCTCCATGACAGCTGACACCACTGTGCACCAGGACAGCATATAAGGAGTAGAGGAGTGGTTCTCCATCTGCCTGAGACATGTATGGGCGAAGATCCAAGTACTCCGGATACTCTACAAGCTATGGAGAGACCAAGAGGGCTCAGAAATGACCCTGGTCTGGGACATGAAATAACCTACCAAGTGCAGGGGCCAGTCCAGGTGTATCAATACATCTCGGGGGCTCATGGGCACTTGGTTTTCCATAAAGCAACATAAAATCGTTTGGGTGGCAGGAAACCCTTCTCAGTCAAAGCAGCCCTATCAGAGCACAGTGCTTGCCTGTCTTCCCACAGGAACTTTCCACTCCCCAGAAGGGACCACAAAAAACCCAACACAAGCAGCTTGTGACAAGCATCCTGCTTTAGGAAATCTGCTTCTTGAAGAGAAAGCTGCACACCAATAGTGTACACACCTTGCTGATCTTCCCAGCAGTGAAGTAGTCAAACCTCTTCAGACACACAGTGAGAACCTTGGGTGCACAGTGGACAGTGAACCTCTTAGTGGCGGCAACATTCTTCTCACACCTTGAAACCAAGCACAGAGCACAGCGCTGAAATGCACCCTATCTTCCACCAAGGCAGTCAGACAACCTTTCTTGTCTCGTGCATCCTTATGCTATTTTAAGGCAATTCGCTGCCATATTTAAAACAAACAAACAAACAAAGAAAAAACCCCAACCCCCCTCCCCCAAAAAACCAGACAAACAAAACTGTGTCTCATCAGTGTGCAGTAAACTTCCACGAGAAGATGACTTCTGCTCAATGACTTGTAGCCCCCTCCCACAGAGTCTAGTGTTAATATGTTGTTAGGAATCATCTTACTTGCTACATTGAAAGCAGTTTTCACCATCCAGGTGCTCAGGTGTTACAAAGTCCTCCAGAGCTGCAGGGAGGGATGAGGCTGCCTGGAGAATTGAGAAATCGGTGCACTGAGCTACAGCAAATGCCCTGGCCCAAACATTTTCCAGGAGCTGACAAGAAAACCCCTGTAGCTGATGCTGAGGAGACCCGCCATGAATCTGCAAGCTGTATCCAGAAGGAGCCAGAAAGAGAGTGTGGTGCTGAACATTTCCCCTGTCCCAGAGGTTCTCAGGGGCAATCAAGAGCTCCCTCTCTCTATCACCTGCCATTGAGCCACTGATGTTATTATGTAGGGTCATCAGTAGTGAAAACAATCCAACCCATCAGCCTGGAAGCCAGACAGGTGTTGAAGGAGGGCAAAGGAAAGAAGGATGAGGATATGTCAAGGGTGCAGAGCGCATAATGGGTGCTTGTCCAGCTTCAAGCCAGCACCTACAGAGAGACCAGTGCCATGGCCTCTGCAGGAGGACAACATCCGTTCCCCTTCCCATCCACGACCAAGACCTCTGGTGTTCACAGTCTATGCTTTCAGGACAAATGTGTGGACTCTGAAAAGCCTTGCCATGTCTTGAAGCACAACTGCAAAACCTCTTACTTTGATATCCAAGGGGACATCCAGGAAGGCCTCATAGGAATCAGAAATGGCTTTGCAGCTGAAGCAGATGACTGGAAGGAAAAATCAAAATGCCGAGCAATGGTGAGCTGAACGATGGTCCTGCTTTGTGCTCCTTGTACCTGTCCTGCTAGTCCCAGGGCCAGCTGTTGGGCACAGGCAGACAGAAGGGCACAGGCAGTGCCAAGGAGAGCAGCTGTTGTAGAAACATACCTCTGGATCTCAGAAAGCCTCCAAATATTTGATGGACAATGGTAGTAGATTGAGATGATATGTCCAAGCTGGAAACAAGTAGTAAGACAGAGCATTACTTCCTCCAAGCCCCGGCTGGAGGTTTTCCTTGATGAGGCCACATCAAGGAGTCCAAAGGGCTCAGAACTTTGTAAAGGTAACTTGCTTGTGCTTACTCGTTGCTTGCACTCAGACAAGCTCTCTGCATGGCATTGACAGTACAGCATAAGAAGTCATGGGCATCCTCCTCCCTGCCAAGCTGAAAATGTTCTCCTATGACTAAGAAACAGGAAGTTAGTAGTTGTCTCCTACAGGAAGGGAAGAAAACCTGTCAAAGAACCTGAAATCACATACATCTGAAAACCCTGAGAACAGCCAAAGGCAGGATGGCACTGACTGAACGCAGGACCTTGTTAACATGCGCTTCCATGATGCACATCATGCAGAAGCCTTGTTGGCGACCTGAGGAGGGAGGGAGAGAAGGTCCTCTGGTTAGCAAAATATCCCTCGTGGTGGAATACTCCTCTTCTTCCACTCCCACTCCAGTGCAATATGCCACTCCTCCCAGTGTTTCAACAAGCACGGCACGTTTTAGTGCATAGAAAATGTTCTTCAGAGGAATGCTAAACTGAGGTTTTAACTTGCAGGAAGAGAGACCCAGAGCTAGAAAGATGTGCCTTCATGAAGAATAAGACAGCTGGACAGGACAGGTGGCTCCTGAGTGTACAAAGAACACAAGTTCTGGGTCTGACAAAGGGCTGCTTTTCTCCTAAATCAAATTTCAGGTTCTGGGAATCCTTGGGATTTGATTAACAGATTCACAGGGAGATGTCCCTAAGAGTACTCACAGGCCTGGCTGTGCTCGCGGGAGAGCAGATAGTTGGCCAGCGGCGGGGTGTATGTCAGGCATTGCAGGACAGCATTAAGGAAGCATGTGTTGCCCACATTGCGGAGTCCTGCTCCAGCACTCTGTCTTTGCTGCCAGACCATGCAAATCTTCTCGGGGGGAAAGAGGATCCTTTGTGGCGGAGTCATTCCCTCGGCAATGACTGCAGGGAAATTCCATTTGGAAAGAGATGAAACGAGGCACAAAGGCATATTTAAACAGTGAGGTCTCTACAGGAGCACTCAGGACCATCTGCTTTAACTGCCAACCCAACAACATCGGGGGAAGCTTAAACTGTGCCATTTAAATTTACTGTTTTGGAAAAATCCATTCCCCTGTTTACGTTGCTGAGAGTCCAACAAACCCGCAATCTGATTTCTGGGCCGCAGGCTACCTTCCTTTCTCAGTAGAGTTCTAGAGTGGATTATCAGTGAAACCATCCCTTTTCCTGATTGTAACTTGTTGAAAACAAGTAAATACTGAGCACGGAAGGTAACCCAAAGGATGGCAGACCTCTCTACGAGCAATGGCAGCTTTCAAAGTCTTGTACCTAGTGTCAGAGGAGTGACAAAAGGTGTTTTCCTGGGTCTAATTGTAAACACGGGGGTCAGTTTGACTGCTCTCAGGAAACATCCCAGAGATCACTCTAGGTTGTGAGCACATCATTCTGGGATTTGACCACCAGCCACGTCACTTGTCTGTGGCAGTTCACAAAGTCCAAACCTGCTGGTGAAGCTATTACTCACAGGAGTCGTTCCCTGCTGTGGCCATTGCCTCTCTCAGGAAGAGAGTGCAATGCTTTAGATGACCAAGGATGTCTTTCTCTCCAGAAAGAGAACAGCACCAATCCCGTCACCTAATTGCAAAGAAATTACTGTAGCTCACCGAAAGTATAAAAACTCTAAATAAACGCAGAACGGCATCCACCACCAAGTCTTTCAGTGGTGCCTGTAACTGCTGCTGAGCTGCAGCTCACACCCTTATGATCAGTCGCGGGGCACCAACTCACAGCAGGTTCAAAGGCCCTTTTGAAATGCTCCAATGTATGTTACCTTCTCTGAAGAGGCCCTGCTGCTCTCCTGACACTGCTTCAGCAGCAGAGCCCTCTGGCTTTCCCACCTCCTAGGAGTGACCATCTTTCAGCCACTACTTTAACTGCTGCCTTTGCTGCTCTCCTTTTTCTGCCTCCCTCCCTCCCACAGCAATCAAGGTGGGCTGAGCCCATCCCCTCAGACTACAGTCACCTCCCTGTTTACCTATCCTAGGCTATGGAAAAAACCAAGAATCAGCAAACTGGAATTCTAACCTAGGTCATACCTGGCCAGCCTATAAAAGTCGTTTATAGCTCAACCTACAGCTAGGAAGGTATAAATCAGCCTATACTTTTATCCCATATACCCTGCTCTATGATCTGTGCCAAAAGTCAAAGCATTACCTTTGAAAGAGGATGAAAGTTGAGGAGAAATGGTCAGTAAACAATAAACCACCCAAAAAAGGCAGGCACACAAGTAGCAAAGGAAGGAGCTGAGTTATCCCGAAGGCCAACTCTGTCCAACTGATTTTCGTTGGCGCGCTCCTCAGGATACCGGATGGGTGCCACATCTCTGCCCCTTTGTGACATGGGGTCCCATGGAACCACATGGAACCACATGGAACCACATGGTTCTTGGGCACAGGAGCCCACATGGCACGTCCGCCAGGTGCAAGCCACTGGACCTCCCCCCATGCTGGTGGCAAAGGGCTAGTCATCCTCTGACAGAGCTCCCACACCTTCCCTGAGCCACACGGCCTGATGAGTAAAAGCCTGCTCAGGGTTGTAACTGAGCCAGGTCACAGCTTTCCTGGCCCCCAAGACGCTGAGGGTTTCACTTCCACTTCTATCAGTGAGACTCTTAGCAAAGCACCTGGACTCTTATGGGTTCATTTCCAATTAATTTCATCTGCCCCCAGGGTACAACCGTGGGCTGACCCTGAACTGGGACTGCCAAAGGAACCCTTCAGAGGCTGCGCTGGGAGGACCTTGGCTGGCTGCTGGCCCCCACCCAGCTGCTGTCTTGTCCTCAAGCTCTGAAAACGTTCCTGGATGGCTTTTTAGCAGCTTCACATTTACTCCTGCCGCTCGGGTTGGTTAGGTTTTGATCAGCCGCAACTTTAGCCAGACTCCCACTCTGGATGGTGATAAGGGAAAATGTTAAGTTGCTATTGAGAAAATGTTACGCTGCTATTGATAAGGGAAAATTTTAAGCTGCACAGTCCAATAAGTGAAATTTTAAGGTTCGTGTGCTGTCGCTAAGACAGCAGCCATGTGCTGGTGAGCAGCCAATGGGGAGTTACCCAGAGGCAGCCAATGGGAAAGCTGTGTGATGGTGCGAAGGGGCAGCCAGTGGGAAAGTGTGCAGTGTAGCAAAGGGTAACCCGTAGACAACCAATGGGACACCGAGTGGACGGGCAGCCCATGAGGAACCGTTGCCAGGGGAAGATGCTGAGGGACTGAGTGAGGTGAGAAGTTCAGAGAGAGGAAGACTTTGAGCCTTCATCCCTTACGACCACCCGAGACAACCACCAGAGAGAAGCGCGCAGGCTCCAGGAGGCGTGTCCCGAGATTTACATAGAACACTGTCCACTCTCGGGTAGTTCATGAAGATGTAAAAATGTGCAATGAATCTGTATGACCTAATTGTATAAAACGGAAGCTATGATGGGCGAGGGCACGCGCGTGTTAGGCGGAGCTATCCCCCGCACGTCCGGCGCCGAAATAAACAAATACCAGCTTAATAGCACCTGTGGCTATTGAGTTTTACTGCTGTTGCCTTTTCCTGGCATCAATGGATAGAGACAGTTTTGTCCGTGCTGCACTTGGCCTATGTTGTTTTGGGCTTGTTGGAAATCATAAAACTTTTCTAATTTTTTTAGTGTTCCTGATTAACTTTTTGATTAGTTGTTTTTAACACACATCATAGGCGGTGCGTTCAGCCTTAAATCAACTTTAGCCAGCATGGAGTAAAAATTGTCATAAGCTCCTTTGTGAGAACACAGCCTGGGAAAAGTACTAAAACTGTAAGTTTTGTTGAAGTTAACCCTGTTATGCTTCAGTGGAGAAAGCCTGCCAGAGAAAGACGTCCTGTTGAAGGAGGAGATCTGGAACACAAGATTTATGGACTACAAGGACCTTCTGCAGAAGCCAGCAGATAAAGAAGAAGACTAACAAAGGCTCAGCATTTGTGTCAGAAAATGCCTAGGGGAGGGAAAATATACAAAAAAGATTAAAGATATGAAGTTATTACAGTAGAAAGTGAGAAATTAATAACCAATACCGCATAGAATACTACTTAATGAAAGGGAGTGAGTGATGTAATTTGGAAGCAATGAACATTAATTTCTTTGTTTGCCAAATCTGTATAAATAGGTGAAAAGCAGTGTCTTGCTGTCAGTATGGAGGCAGGATTTTTGTCAGCCACATGCACACCCAGGGTTGCAAATAAAAGTAATCACTTGCTTTCTAACACTAAAAAGCCAATTTGTTAGAGGGTCCTATTTATCCTGACAGTTTCAGAGGTGTTTAGCAACAGGCAGTCCTCTGGACACCTGGTGTAACCTCTGCTCAGCAGGCAGATAGTGTTTCTCATGCTCCAAGGATGCAGCTGGTTGTCATTTAACACCACTTGAACTGGCTGGTTTGGCCCCTGCCTGGAATGGGGCATCCAGTTTTACTCAGTTCTTCTCAGGACAGGTGGTTTTACTCCTGCCCAGCTCAGCACAGTTCATATGGCTCCTGCTGCACTCCGAGGTGTTTCTTCTTTTCTACTTGGGGCATCCAGCTAGGGCATGACTTTGCTTGGATGGCTTTTTTCATCACGTCTTGCAGTCGCTGGTTTTATCCCTGTCATCCTTGGGGAGGCTCCTTGTATCCCTTACCCAGACAAAGTATCTGCATTTACTCCTGCATTACACCTCTCAGGTGACGTTTTATGCCCCTGCCCTAACCTGATGTCTAGGTCCTGTATTACCGTCCTCCCAGAAGCACTTCAGGAGCTCTCTGATGAAGACAGTCAACAATGGCAATCGTGAACAGTGCCTCTGCTCCTGCCTCCTGCTCATATGGGGGCATTTTAGGACGTAAACAGCTGTGCTCTGTGACCAAGCGGGTCCTACATGAGTCCCCTTTGCCCTCATCGTCAGTCCCTGAAGGTCCAGTGCGCCGGGAAGACCCCTTCTCCCCCTCCCTATCAGCCTTCACATTTCCAGGCACCAGGCCGACTCCTTTGCTCCTCACAGGCCTTGCAGGTCACAGGCACCTGCCTGCCAGGTTGTGATGGCCTCACAGCAGCACAGGGCAGCACAGCAGCACACAGAGCCCCATCTTAATACCAAACAGACTCTTCTCCCCTGAAAGGGCCACTCATGTTCTGTTAACGTGTTTCAAGGCTAGATTAAGATTGTTATATTGACATGACAAACCAAGGATTAGGATGTGCCCTGGCCTGCAGAGTGATCAGGTCCAGGTGATCAGGCATCATAAGCTGAGCTGTGCTCTACAATTCGGTGCTAAAGGGCTTACAAAATCTTGCTATGCTGGTGCTGCTTATAGAAATCTTGTGCTACTCCAATCATGGTATTCTGGGCTATAGTGATCATAACATGACGTTAAAAAAAATGAAGCTTTAATTGTAACTATGACTCAGTGCCATCATCATTCTGCCAAGGCTATCCTCATGAACCCGTCTGTCACCGCAGTGTCAGGTGATAGCCCTGACCAAAAGGGGACAGGGGGAGGTGCAGAACAACTGTCCATAAGTGTCCCTTGGCTCAGGGGATATGCAGGGCAGCAGGGATCCGTGCTGGTCCCCTTTCCTCCTTTCCCCTTCCGGGTGACACTGACCAAGGCCCCAGCACCTGCTGCCACGAGCTGTACACAGCTCCCCTGATGTTCAAGGTCTGACAAGCTTAATAAAACAGCTCCCACCAGAGATTTGGTGTGATCCCCCTGATCTGAGGGGAAACTGTGTCTATGGGGGAGGAAGGTATGCTTTCTGCACCTCATTTAAGGCTGGAGCCATTTTGCGCAGTGCTTTTTGTGCCCTTTTGTTCCTCCCTTTAAGCAGTTCAGTTGCCCCGCTACTTTTATAATAAAATCGCCTTACCAGCTGCACCCAGAAAAGTTGTGGAGGTCTTTATTCAAGCGCCGACCTCCGCACTGGGTGGTACCTGCTACTCCTCAGGGGATTGGACAGAGCCATTCGTTGGTGTGAGTTTGGCATTCCCCACCCAAACTGCTGCAGGAGTGCCAAGCTATTTTGAGGAATGGGGAGTTGTTACAAAGACTTGACCGGAGCCCTGCTTAGAGGGGCTGGGAGAGGTCCAGCAGCATGGAGTGAGCCTGGCCAGTGCAGAGGGGCCCCGAGCAGGAGATGAAATCTCTTGCAGAGAGGCGCCACTTGCCACAACAGCAAACGGGGAAATCTTCCTCTCCCTTCAGGTCAGAGGTAGAAGTGGATGTGATCAGTGGTGTTCAATCCCCCTGCAATGTGGAGGTGGAGATCCAAACAACCTATAAACAGGCTGGCTCGAGCAAGGAAAGGCTGGGATGCTGCAACAATTATTGTGGCATGGTACTAAGGCAGGCCTGGTAAATCCAGATCAGATGCTCTGGCACCTCTGTTAGGAGGCAAAGTCATCCCAAGGGCTGGAGGCTTCTGCCCAGATGATGTCAGGAGGGGCTGCACTCACTGGTGTCTCTGAAGGTGTGAATCTCTCTGTGATTCTCCTGGTTCTTGTGCCATTTCCCAAACAACATGGGCAGGAGGAGGGCTTTGCTGTCGCTTATGGGAGAAACCGGCCTCTGGCTTTAGAGTGTTTTGAGAAAGTCCAG